CCGGACCTCCTTCTCATTAAAGCCATGGCCATTGAATGATTTTGATGTTGGAACCCACTGCCATCTGGTGTTTTCATGCCACCTTCATTTCTTCATCGTTGCTGCCGGACCTCCTTCTCATTAAAGCCATGGCCGTTGAACAATTTCGACGTTGGAACCCACTGCCATCGGGTATTTTCATGCCACCCCCTTCTCAAATCTATTCAACATGTCTCGTGGCCTCTCAATTAGGAAACAAATTGAAACCCCAATCATCTCTTAAACCTAAGTATCTACAAAGTCCATGGCTTGGCATCAGTCTTTATCCTCAATCGTTAAATCCCAACTTGACTTCCAAAATCGCCATCCGATCCCTTCCACCATAGTGTTTAACCTCCCAAGTTTGACAATCATGTTGTTTCCATGGATGCTCAAGGCTTGAGACACCAACTTTGTCAAGGTTGATCAAAGCCCAAATCGAGTTTGATCTCATCCAAGTAAGTTTTGATCTTTTTTTCCCCCTTAATATATTTCAATTTATTGCATTTTATTGATTTCTTACCCAGCTTCCATCGTAAGGTTGGTTTTGATGTTCTCTGGATCTATGTTATGTTATGTTGTTTTAACTTCAGTATAATGTTGATTTGTTCAACTCATCTTTTCTTTTGGTACATCTAAACAATGCTCATGTATCTCCCTTGGTTATCTACTTTTTCCTATTTGAGGAATGCATTTCACTATTTATTGTCTACCATATTTCCAAAAGTTTTTGTTTGCTGCATATCAATAAAACTATTGGTTTGCCTATTCTGTTATCAAAAGCCTCACTTAAGATGTCACTTTTGTCTTATATTTCCAATGCATTGAAAATTTACATTCATCTGCTGATTTCAAATTCTGCCAATTTTATTTTCCCAACTCTTCATCATAATCCATCTAATAAATATTGGTCAAGATATTGTGTTTTCAAAATGATTATTCTTGAGAATAAGCTACGAGTTTTAACAAATTCTTTTGCAGTTGTTTATCTTTTCAAATCTCTTACATCTTTATCGTCCTTTCTCACTTGAAATTGGATATGTTAAGTCAAATGGTTTAGGTTTGTTTTCATTGAAAAGATTGAAGATGATTCTCTGTGCAGAGATGTTAGCACCAACTGCCCTGGAATTTGAAGAAGCTAGACGAATCAAATAAGAGGAAATGATCTGTGCCTATAATTTATGGAATGATGCTGCTAAATCCAATGAAATTCATGTCAAGTTAGCTGGTAGTGCCAAAGTGGTTGATGCTCTCAAGGACCTAAAATACAAGGTATTTATTTATTTTTATTTTTTTTTTTTTTTAGATTAGTTTCAGTTGAGCTTTCTTATAACATATGCTAATTTTATTTCATAGAAACGAGCACATGGAGTCTTGACTTGTATTGGGTTTGTAGGCTAGAGTAGCATGATAGAGGTTTGACCTATAGCTTTCAGGGCATAGCATCATTTGCTAAGATAATTGAGATTTTAGAAAGGTTCAGTGTTCTTTGGTTTAGCTAGATGATACC